ATTTTATAAAATTCTACTGTTTTGTAGTTAATAGCTATTGTTAATAATAAAAGGTCACAAGGATGTAAAATAGGGACTATAACCGTACAATTCAATTAATTATACGTAACTGTTGGAATGCTTGATTTTGGTTAATATAAAGTAGAAGCTTCAAGCCTTTCAGTAAAATGTGGTAGTGGTTGAATGGAAGTGCTTTTGCACAAACTTGTTAGAAATTTTGTAGTTCTATCATTTATTCATGTAGAAGTTCCTCTGCTCTATCTGGTTTATAGTCTATCATGGCTAGAGATGGTAGGTCATCATTGTAGTGATATTTACTTGGTGCTGTTGTGCCCTTAGTTCTGTAAAGTCTTTTCAATTCAGTATTGAAGAGAAAAAAAGGAATTATTCTTGTAACGTAACATCATTCATGCTTTATTTGCTAATCCTGATTTGAATTACTTTAAGCATCCGATTTGTACAAGTATTCACCGAGTAAGGTAGCTGTTACTTGAGAGGACCTTTTAGAACCCATAGCATCAATAAGTAGAACTGGTCCATTTATCTTAAGAAGAGTAGTTTATGCCTCTATCTAAAGAAATAATCCTTCTTAATGCTGTTGTTGATGCTAATTTCGATTGTTCAGAGAAAAACTGGTGGGTTGGTTATCTGGAGATCTGGCACTTCTGTTTCTCTTTACAGAGGTGTAACTTATGAAGACACTTCGGAAAAATTGAAGAAAAGGACGTTCAACAAAATTGAAATTTCTCGTAAGTCCTCTTCAACTGCTTCTGACGAGGCTGGTCCTTCCGGACATGGTCCTTCAAGTGATGTGGATGCACCTCAAGCAGAGACTATATGCACGGGCTCAGAGAGTAAAAACAGTGAAACACTGATGGAAGTGAAATATGAAGATGAAGTAGAGAAACTATTAGATGGACTTGGCCCAAGGTACACAGATTGGCCCGGAGATGGTCCACTTCCTGTAGATGCAGATTTACTCCCAGGAGTCATCCCTGGTTATCAGCCTCCCTTCAGATTACTTCCTTATGGTGTGAGATCAACCCTTGGAACAAAGGAGGCGACCTCTTTACGGAGACTTGCTAGAATTTTGCCACCACATTTTGCACTAGGTATGCATTTCTTGTACATATGTCATTTGATTAGAAATGATAGCTATTGGCATAAGATTTAGCTTGTTGTCGATAACGAGAAATATTGATATTATATTGATGATTGACATCTCCAGGAAGAAGCAGGCAGCACCAAGGATTAGCTGCAGCCATGATAAAGCTATGGGAGAAAAGTAAAATTGCCAAAATTGCTCTAAAACGTGGGGTTCAGCTAACTACGAGTGAAAGAATGGCTGAAGATATCAAGGTAACGCAAGATGCTCAAGTTAGTGTAGGCCTCTTAATATTTATCATATTTTGATATTTAAAGGCCTATTGTCAATTTGTGTGTTTCATATTTCTCAGCGAGTCACTGCACTTCTCTTCCTAACTAGTGGAGAGGACCTTTCATGTCATGAGGAAACATATGTTGAACTGTCCCATCTAAAAGCATAAGTTGTTAAAGAGGGAACAAATATAATTTTATAGATTCTGTCTTAAACATGTCCCTTCTTGTGCATACCAAATTCATTTTTCCATTGAAAGTCTAACATGTGCACAATTTTCACAAGTAGGGGGCAACGGGACTTGATCCTGTTACCTTTGCTTGCCCCAACCCCATTTAAAAGCTTATATGCAGGCACTGAGGGGAATTGATTGACACGCACAATTTTCATTAATGGATAGCTCGGTACTTATCCTAAGACCTTTGCACGTCTTGATACTATGTTGAGCTCTATCATCTAAAAGTTAAATCTACCAAAGAGAAGGCATATTTATTTTTACCAAATCTTGTCTAAAACAATATGCAACTGAAATTGAGATTGATTGTTCTCAAGGATGCATCTAATTATGTTACAATAGGTATATTTCACTTGACACTTTATTCGAATAAGAAGTTAAACCGTGTTTCTCTCATTTACAAGTGCATTTATTTATAGCTGAGTTTAAATGGTACTGAAATTTTTCTGTCAAACTTTGGTCCTGGGAGTTCCTTTTCTGTGGATAACAATTTTTTGGCAAATGAGGAGAAAATGGCATTTTTACATTATATCCTCATTTTGAATGATCAATTTGTTTATTGGGTGCGAGTTAAAGTAAGTTTACTCTAGTTTCATCTGGGGAGGTTGATGATCAATTTCATATAAAGAAGAAAAAAAGAAGAATTAACAAGAAAGAGGTCGATTATTGTAAACACAATTTTATGTGTGTGATTGATGATACTTGTGCTTTGAGTAAACTTTATTTTTCCTCAATATCAGAAGTTGTTATATTTAATACCTTTCTTCCTATATCAATTATCAAAAAAATCTGATCATTTCTATGGAGAGCTATCTCAGGTCATTGTGCCATCTTGATCATTTGGATTGTAAATAATGTCATTTTGTGAGTGCTTGAAAAATTTAATTCTTCGATCCATTGTCAATTTACTTTCAAAAAGTAGTTGCTTGAGAACTTTTTAAGTGTGGATGGCACAATTGTTTGGATACTTCTTGAAGAAATGGAGTTAAAAAGTTTTTAAAAGAGTAGTCTCTGGGGAAGAGAAGTGTTTATTGATCTGGGATAGGTCTAAAATGAAGGGAAGATAAAAATATAAAACTAAAAGAATGAAAGAAGAAGATATAGTTATGTTACTTCTCTCTGTGTCTACCTCTTTCTTTTGTTTATTCTTTTCGTCATAAATTGCTTATCCATCAAACCAATCAGATATCTAAATCCCACACAGAAGATATAGTTATGTTCCTCTCTGTGTCTACCTCTTCCTTTGTTTATTCTTCTTGTCATAATTTGCTTATCCATAAAATCAATCACATATTTAAGCCCCACACACTAAATTTTCCTTCAGTTTATGGTAGAACAACCATTTACTTTATCATGCTAAAAGTTACCTGGAGGACTCCGGCCCAAAATGAAAAATGAGACCTGCTTGAAGGGACTTTATTCTTATGGGCAGTAAAGGAGCCTCTAATTGATCCATTGGTTAATTCAGTCTTAGGCAATACATGGTTGTACTTCATGCAGAGATTGACTGGCGGTATGCTGCTCTCTAGAAACAAGGACTTTTTGGTGTACTACAGAGGGAAGGACTTTTTGTCGCCAGAAGTTGCTGAAGTGTTGTTGGAAAAGGAGAGATTGGCAAAGGCCTTGCAAGATGAAGAAGAACAAGCACGTTTGAGAGCATCAACCTTTGTCATACCCAGTGTGGAAGATACCGATAAATTTGGAGTTGCGGGTACTCTCAAAGAAACTTTAGATTCAGATGCTAGATGGGGGAAACGGCTGGATGATGAGGAAAAGGAGAAGATGATGAGAGAAGCCGAAGTGTTAAGGCATGCCGAGCTCGTCAGAAAGCTTGAGAAGAAGCTTGCTTTTGTACGTTTCGTCCATTAAATTCTCTTTTGGTTTACTTAGTTTTGTTTATTTGTAAGTGCTTTTCATTTCCTGTATTTGTCTCCCTAAAATATTGACTAGAAATTCATGTAACAAGGCTGAGAGAAAGCTAATGAAAGCAGAACGAGCATTGTCAAAGGTAGAGGAATTTTTAAATCCAGCTGACCATCCAGCAGACCCAGAAAGCATTACCGATGAGGAAAGGTTCATGTTTCGGAAGCTTGGTTTAAGAATGAAAGCCTTTTTACTTCTCGGTACAATAATTCTACTTCCTTATTTTTATTTTTTTCCCAATAAACGTTGTTTTTACTTATACAGCCTTTTTCAGGTAGGCGTGGAGTTTTTGGTGGTACAGTGGAGAACATGCACTTACACTGGAAGTACCGAGAATTGATCAAAATCATTGTCAAGGCTAAAAACTTTGATGAGGTTAAAAATATTGCACTCTCTCTTGAAGCCGAGAGTGGCGGTGTGTTGATTTCAGTAGACAAAGTATCCAAGGGTTATGCCATAATTGTTTTCCGGGGTCGGGATTATAAAAGGCCTTCTTCTCTAAGGCCAAAGAATCTTTTAACGAAGCGGAAGGCATTGGCACGTTCAATTGAACTTCAAAGACGTCAGGTACGCCAAATAGATTTGGATTGCTCGTCTTTTCAACTAAATCATATAAAATCATTCAATTGCTTCTGATTCATACTGCATTATTGGATTTTACAGGCTCTCATGAACCATATTTCAACCATGCAAACAAGAGTGAACCAGCTAATTTCTGAAATTGTATGTCTTATATTTTCTATTACGTAATTCTTTCCTGCCTTTTGTTTTCCCCGTAAGTATGTTACAGATGAATATTTTTCACTACTGTAGGAACAAATGGCGGCTGTGAAAGACCGGGGTGATGATGAACTGTATAATAAACTAGATTCTTCTTACCTTACTGAAGACGAGGATAGCGAGGTTTGTAGTAAACGATTCCGTTTTCATTTGAGAAGATAGCAAATAATTTTTCTTGAACTTATTGGCAAAGTAATATTAGCTTTTGCTGAAGTGAATAATGCAATTTGGAGCTGTATTTTCTGCTCAACATTCCGGCGTATGTTTTTTTTTTTCCTATTCTTTTACACGCTTCTTAATTTATTTTATTAGGTGGACGAAGAGGATGCTTACCTTGAGACGTACGACAGCAGGGATGAGGGGGTCGATGAACATGATATTTCAGTTCATAGTCTTCAGTCGGAAACAAATTTTCCATATGGTTTCAAAGATGAATCAGAAACAGAACTTCGAGAGGTATAAGGACACGATTGCACCATCATCGCTGGGGAAGATTTAGAACGATAGAGGATTCTACCGAGCAAGCAGGAGCTGGAGTTACGTTGAAGTCACACAAATGAACTTGATTATTTTGGATTCAATCTGGTTCGATATTTTGCCCACGTGCTTGTTTGACAGGGATGATTGGATAGCACTACATTTTCAAGGAGCTAAAGTCTTGTTCCTTATATATTGTTGAGCATTTTTAGTGCTATTGCTGAATAGTCATGATGCGCATTTAAACATGGAAGCATTGGGTTGCATGCAATTCTTAAACTGATAGCAGTAGAGAGGGAAGATAAAAGTTTACTCATCAATAAAACTAGATTCGGTATGCCAGATTGAACATGACCTTGTAACATTTGCTGCTGAATTCTTCCTGTCGTTACCAAATATATAATTCACAATATGTCGTTTCAAAGAATACATGAGCTCCACTTCGGTTTGGTGATATAATGTCAGATGGAACGCCTTTAAACTGATTTGCAATCGTCTATATCAAGAAAATTACAAAGGCTAATTGGTCGGAACTCTGTGATACTTCTCGGGAATTAGTACACATAAGAGGAGTTCATGCTTAACGACTGCTGGCCATTTAACACACTAACAAATATCTGTCACTTCAGCCCCTGCCGCTTACCATTTGTGCTGATAAAAAGATGGCATGATAACCATCCAGACCGGAAGCCTTGAATGAATCCATTTCGAACTTCATCAACTGAAAATGGTTCTGCTAAATGGTGGAATTCTTCCGATGTAATTCTCATATTTCCCTTAGTGCGGTTCCGATTTGTTCCTTAGACAGTAGAAGAATCAGTAAAATGGGTTGTCAAAATGTCTGCGAAACTCCAGAAGTACCACAACCATCCACAAGTCCCATTATCTCATTCTTAGCCCTGCGACCTTAGCTCGATGATGGAAAAAGGTGGTGTAGCGGTCACCTATAAGTATGGCCTGTTGAGCCCAATATATCTCCATTTTCAGAAAAGATTATGTAGCTAACGTTCCAACTGTTGTACCCGCTGCAAATTAGGCCCACTACTTTCACTTTCAAGAATCTGATTCATCTCAATCCGGACCCGACTGATCTGATGTGTGAGGCTGCCACCTAAAGGTTATTCTGCATACTCAAATGACTTCTGCGTTCAAATGACGATGCTGTCCAATATTTGGAATAGGCGTTTAGTCTTGTGCTTCAATCGCTAAGTTCGATGATATGGAAAATGATGCATGTACAGGGGCGTGTTTCACATGCCCCTGCCAGGTGAGAAAGAGTTGGGGGCAGGCCCCACAATTCTTTTTTTTTTTTTTTTTTTTTTTTTTTTTTGTTTTTGTTTGAGGAAAGCCATTATTACAAGCCCCTAAACGTCCAGGGGCTTGTCACCCAAGAATCTCCCTTTTTTCATTTTAATGTGTGGGGCCCAACCCCAAACAGCCAGGGGCCTGTGAGGCCCCTTTGAACCGAGCTCGAGTACATGGAGGTCGGTTATTGATGATACAGGGTACCATCTAGGCCATGTTTGGGATAATGCATTTTTCCCACCTCGGGCTGGAAGATGGGAGGACAAGCCACTGTAAACCATTAATGTCTTAAGTTGAATTTGCCCTCTCTTGCTGACTGCATAATATAAAGTCCCTAGTGTTTGTGAATGAAATTGTGTCAACATAGTATTCCCACCATAGTTGAACCTCTTGTACAGAGATATCTAAAATGAAATGCAGAAAACCTTGTGCAAGTTATGCCTCCACAAAGGAAGATCTTTGGTGCGTATTTAGAACCTCGACTTCCCACGTCATTTAGAGTTTAAAATTGTTCCAAAATACACGCCCCATATAAACATACATATAAACTGAAAAAATATAAGAAAATGCAATTGAAAACATTTAACTCTTTCCAAATAAAAATAAGCAATTGATAAAACATTCAAACTAACAGTAGTTTAAAGATTCATGTCAAACAAAAAATGAAAGCTGATGGAAAACAAACTAATTAAGCACAAGAGTAAGAAGGAAAAAACATAACATAGGTGATCCTGGCGAACAAAACCTCTCTTATATTTCTGAATTGATTGTAGATTTCTCACTTGAGAGGAATGAACCTTGAGGAGTGGGTGGCACCAA